CAGACAGGAAGCTAGCCAGGTACCCCACGGAGGGAAGGGGACAGACAGCTTGCCTCCCTATGCTTCCCTGTCCCAGGCTAAACTTCCCCTTTCCCATTCCAGTAGCCAGCATGGACCTAGACCCTCTCTCCTCTCTGAGGATCTGGGATAGGTTCCCAGGTGGACCCTGGTGCCCAGGTTCCAGTAAGGAGCCTGGCCTTCTCCCACGAGAGCTGCCGTGGTGAGGCAGGAGCCTGTTGGAAACTCTCCCTGTTCAGGAGCAACCCAAACCCAGAACAGACAGCCTCCAGCTCCCCTGTGGTGTGGTGACCAAGTGGACAACTAAGATGGCTAGGAACAGTCATCGCTGCACACCAGCCAGTGTTTTCACTGTAGAGATTCAGCCAGCACAGTGTGTGTGTGTGTGTGTGTGTGTGTGTGTGTGTGTGTGTGTTGGGGTGCAGCGTTCTCCCTCTTGCCGGTTGGGGGCCAGGGCCTGGCTGCAGACATGGCCCTTGGCCCTCTGGGCCCTTGGCTCATACGGTCTCTGAGTTTATGAGTGACAACCCTGTCCTCAGAAGAGTTTGTCCCTTTCACCAGCTCCCCTGGTCTCTTTCTCCTTGTCCTACTTCAAGGTCCCAGAAAGGACAAGGAGACTGAGGCAGGGGGTAGGTGGCAGTGCTCAAGGTGCTGGGGTTCACTGATGGTTCAGATTAGGAAGGCTTATCGGAGACCCTGAAATCCCAGCCCCTGTGCAACCCCAAAGATGCAGCCTGAGTTTGGCACCAAAGCTCACCCGGTGTCAAGAACCTTCCCCAGACTCACAAGAGGCTGCTGATCCTACTACCGGTACCTATGCCTAAATTTCCTGCTCTCACCACACCAGGCATGCCCACATGGGCACCACATCGCCTTTGGGCTGTATGAAATATTTCAAATTCTGAACTCCGAATGTCTGGCTCCAGGGTTGCTGAGCAGAGGGGTTGGGGTAGTTGGAGGTCATAGTTAGTCACTGTGAGGGACATGCCACAGGGGAGGGGTTTCAGATGGGGATGGCACTCCAGTAGCCATGGCACCCTCACAGTCCCACCTCCTGCTCTGATTAGAACAGCTCCCAGCCTGCGACTTTTAAAGGCTATCATTTCCGATGATTCCTGCTGATGCATGCGTAATGCGCTCTGACCCGGGGCAGGGGCGGGACTAACCTTCAGTTCCTGACTTCAGCTGCCAGCTCCTTGGACGGCCTGTGTCTGGGGAACAATCCAGTGTGGTCAGTCAGCATGCTGCTGCCCATTCGGGCCATTGTCTCCTGTCACCACGTGTCCCTCTACCCCAGGACCCAGGAAGAAGCTGCCTCTTCTCTCAGCCTCGGGGTCCTCTTCCTTGTAGTGGTCTTGTCTTGTGGTAGGGATGACCATGAAACAGTTGAGAGACCCCTTAGGAGCTAATACTGGCCCCATCTCTCCCCTCACACCTCCGTCCAGATCCCCGTGAGCCCTGGTGGAAGGGGCTTGATCGGGACTAAGATGGGATTGTGCCCTAAGATGAGGACACACCGTAAGGCAGGGCCAGTGGGACAGAGTTTACAGGTCTGCCAGGGCCACCTTCCTGCATGCACAATGGGCCCGGGCTGCCAGGTAGAGCCCCCAATCTGCTTGTCTCCTCCAAGAAGCTGCGTCCGAGGCGCCTGCCTCGAGCTGGCTGCACCCTGCTGCAGGCCCCACTTTGCCTTGGCAACTGAGGTGCCAGAGTTGCTCGTGTGGCTCTTCTCGTACCTGTCAGGAATCCGTGGGCTGTGTGTGGACTGAGGTAGGCTCTTGGTGGAAAGCGCAGCCTCTTTCAGCTGCCTCCACCTTCCCTGCCTGCTCCCAGGGCTGGGCTTGTTTCTTGGTGGGCCAGGAGAGGCAGGGAGGCTGGATGCCCACAGGGGCAGCCCACAGAGGAGGCCACGGTATTTGATGTCTGCAGCCCAATCTGCCCCATATGTGTGAATTCCCGAAAACAAGTTTTTCTTTGCATCTACTGGAGGATACTCCAATCCTAAATCAGTCAGTTCCCAACCCATCAGCCTGCTGCCAGGCTCCCTGAATGAGGGGCCTGTCCCCCTCCCTGTCATAGCTGCCCACCTTGCTCATTCTGAGCGTCAGGAAGACAGAGAACCCTCCCAAATCCAGAGATGTGTATGCAGCACACCCCAACTCCAGCTAGGAACAGCGCCCCACTGTCCTAGGTAAGAGAAGCCCTCCTGGGAGGGAGAAATGTCCCTTCTCAGTGGACTACCGTGGGCTGGAGGCTGTCAGCTGGCATTCAGATGTTCAAGTGCCACCTCATGGCAAGGGTAGGGCCCAATACAGACTTACGTTCATGCCTCCAGGCAGGCCAGAGACTGGGCAAAGGGGAAGGGGTGTCAGCATTCACTCCCTCCCTCCTTCGTGATGGTGAGAACCCAGCTGAGGAAAGACGGCGTCCTGGCCACAGTGCCACCACAAGACGGCAGCTTGGCGACTCAAAAAGAAAGCCAACTCCGATCCCTTGCACTTGACCTTGGGGGTGACCTCATTTGCCTGTTTTAATTGTGCTACAATTGGAGCCAGTGCTCAATTCATTCCAGTTTATGCTTTGTTACCAAAGTGCCTGCCCTGCTCCCAGCCCTGTACCGGGCTCTCAGGGAGAGGGACCAGAGCGAAGGAAGCATGTCTGTCCCCCTGGAAGGGAACACAGACCCGGGGCTTTGTCCAGAGTTACTCCTCCCCTGGAGACCTGCCAGGGTGGCCCGACAGGGTTTATGAGCGGTTTCAGGATTTCATGAAGTAGGGCACCTTTGCCGGGTGACACACTAGCGCTTGGCTGCTAACTGAAAAGGGTGTCCCACTCAGTGGTCTCAGAGGGGCCCTGGTGGCCTCATGGTTACTCTCTGGGCTGCTTACTGCAAGGTCAGCAGTTCCAAACCACCAGCTGCCCTGTGAGAGAAAGATGAGGCTTTCTACTCCCATAAAGAGATACCGTCTCGGAAACTCGCAGGGGCAGTTCTGCACGGTCCTGTGGGGCGGCTATGAGTTGGCAGTGACTCGATGGAAGTGAGTTTGGTGTCTTGGAGTGGCTCCAGGGCAGAAAGGCCTGGCAATGGCTTCGGTAAAGATAACAGCCTGACAAGCCCTGAGGGGCAGCTCTACTCTGTGACATGCCAGTGGGGCTGGGGGGAGGGGGTGGTTGGAATCACACACAGGGCAATGTTAGCTCAAATGAAATCAAATCTTCTGCAGGGGGGCAGTGTATCAAGTAGATGCAAGGGAGGCATCTCAGATCAAGAGCAATGATTCTGGGAGCCCCTGTGCGGCCTCTCTGACAGGGCTTTCAGAACCCTCCAGAAAAGGGTCCAAGTCCAGGCGGTCTGGCCTAGGGGAGTCAAGTGTTCATGTGTTCACTTGGGGCGCCATGACCCCTCTGACTGAGCAGCTAAACTCACTACCACCCCTGTTCAGCCTGCTTCTACCCCAGCACCCCCGCATGGAGAAATGTCACCCAGCTGCCAGCTGCTTTCTGAACCCAGCAGACCTCTTGCCCCCATTTTAGCCCTCCCCCCGCCCACCCCCATTCTTGTCCCCTGGGTCTAGCTCCAGACCTTTCCTCCAAGGTGTGTCTGCCTCTCTCCACCCACAGCTCTCTCCAAGTATCACTTGTCTTCCTGTCTCCACAGGAGCTCCTACTCTGATCCACGTCGCATCTTTTAGCTAGCGCCATAGCTCCCAAGTGTGGAGCTCATCCCACTACCCCATGTCCAGAGTCCTCAGGGTCTCCTCACTGCCCTTGGGCCCCGTTCACGGACTGACTGTGGCTACACGGCTCTTTGAGGATGAACGAATGAATGGATGGATAGATGGATGAATGAGTGGAGAATTAGGAGCAAGTTTTGGGAGGCGGTGGCCTGGGAGCTGAATCTCAAGGCCAGGCTTTGGCCACTTGCAGAAGTGATCAGAAGGGAAGAAGTGGGTAGGGAGGTGGGCCTGAGCAAAGGCGATGTAGGAGCAGAGGGGGGGGCAGGCTGAGCTGGTCCGTCCAGGAGCCCAGTGCTCCTTCCACGCAGCAGGGAGCCCCTCCGGGTTGCTGTGAACACTCCCAGCGACCCTGCTATGCAGCCCC